CAAAAGGCCGGGACCGGCTCAGCCCGTTCGGTAGCGCAGGTAGAGAGACAGGAAAAAGCCATCATACCTCCCCCATTCTTAAAGGCCAGGTACGGGAACCTCCAGACATTGCCCAGCCCCACCGCGTAACCCACCATGGAGAGGATGAAATCCAGCTTGCTGGACCAGTTCCCTCGGGCTTTATTTTCATCCCCCACATCGTCTTCCTAAAAATGGGGGAGAAAAGGTGGGGGGACAGAAGGGAGAGAGATGGGAGAGCAGCCCCGTTAGCGCGCACAGGCCCGGCGTGCTGCGGTTCAGCCGTGAGGGAGCCCTGCGAGCCCCGCTCCCCGGCCGCCCCCAGGCCTCTCCTTTGGGGAAAAAATGCGCGAAAAAGGGGGTTAAACACGGCCCTGCACAGAGCGCTCGGGGAGGGTCTCCCTGCTCCTGATCCCCATCCCCTCCCCTGGGGCTGGAAGCGCTCGGTGGCCTCTGGAGGGTCCGGAGGGAGCGCCGGTTCCCGGCCCAGCCAGGAGCGGTGGGAATGGCTTTTACCGCCCCTGGAGGGTCAGGAGCGGTGGGAATGGCTTTTACCGCCCCTGGAGGGTCCGGACCGAGTGCCGGTTCCCGGCCCAGCCAGGAGCGGTGGGAATGGCTTTTGCCGCAGGCCTGCAGGGTAAATACGGGTGGGCAGCAGGAGAGGGACTGTGGGGAGGGGAGAGCGGCCCCTGCTCAGCCCCGCAGCATCCCCTCCCTCCCAGGACCTCTTGTGGCATTGCTCTGCTTGATTTCCCCCCAGTGTTGGTTACGGGGTGAGAGGCACGCAGCCCCCGGGGGTTTGGGCAGGCGGAGGAGCCTGAGGAGGGGAAGGGCAAGGCGCCCTTCAGGTGGGGACAGGAGCAGCCCTCATGGGAGGATGTGCGGGTCAGAGCCGCGCTGCAGCCGCCGGCAGGGCCCAGGAGCCGGCCGCAATGACACGGGATGCTCGTTCGTACCGCCAGTGCATCGTTAGCACCGCAATATATCGTGAGCATCCGCATCTCCACAGTACATCCTTAGCACTGACCGCTGGATCCCAGATCCTCTCCCCGCTTCTTCCTCCCCCCTCCCTGCGCCACGGGCCCATCCCCGGCTCATCAGCACCTGAATTCAGAACTTCCACCCCAAACCGGTGCCGAGCGGCGAAGGCTCTCCCCCCCAAGAGCCTGCGAGGAGACAACTCACCCCCTCCACTGTGCCGGGGAGGACAGAGGTGTTGCCGTCGGCGCCCAGCACCACGGTGCTCTGGCTCAGGGTCACCCAGGCGTTGCTGTGCTCCAGCGAGCCCTTGCCGAGGCCCAGGGCAGCGTTCCCGTCCGTGCTCTGCAGAGCGGGGATTTTGCAGTGCGGGATCGCAGCCGGCCCGGCTGTCGCTGCCCCGGGATTGCCCGGCGTGCAGGGGAAGCTCTCCGCAGATTCCCTCCGGCCGGTGGAGCTGGCTTGCACCGGGGTGCTGCTCAGCTTGCAGACCCCCACTTTGGTCCTCTCCAGCTCGCTGGGTTTCGCTTCCTCGGAGAGAAAGGCTTTGCTGTCGTTGGACAGTGACCGGGCAAGGCTGGCGGCGGCGGCCGCTGGCACAGGGGCGTTTTGCGGCTCATTTTCGCCTCTCGCAACTCCCGCACCTTCGTTGGGTCCGGGAGCCACCGCTTCAGGGTTGTTCGCGAGCTGCTTGCTCATATCCCTTTGACTGGCGTAATCCTAAAATGAGAACGTCACATATTTTACCAAAAGGAGAAGAAGGGAAAAAAAAAAAAAAGTGTTGGCTCTGCGGAGATTACACGAATTTTTTGCCCTCGTGCAGGAAACGCATGCGCCAGAAAATCGGGATACAGGAGTGTTGCAGAATTTCAGGAGCCTCCTGCTTGCCCTCCCATTCCACGTTAAAACTCTGGGGGGAAAAAGAGCGCGGTACACAAAGAACCCTCACCACAAACCCCCCCAAAAACCCCCAAAAACAAACCTCAAACAAAAACCAACACTGGCATCTGCAAACCCGTAATTCAAGTTTAAAGAAGTGTTTCTACAGCACTGCGCCGCCAGACCTCGTTAGATTTCACATCACGACTGTAGGATGCTCCCTTCCCCATCACCAGTGTAGAAAGATTCTTTAATTTTACGCCCCATTTCCTTTCTGTCATTCAACAATGCACATCGGCCTTTTTTTTTAATATATATGAGCAAGAGACAAGCTGCCCTGTAGGCAACCGGGGATGTTAAAAAACAAGTGAAATAGTGCTGGTGAAGATTTCTGAGCTGGCTGCTACGCTTCAAAGCCCGCCAGCAAGAGAGTGAAATGCTAAAAATCCCAAAAACATAACCGCACTGCCACAGTGGGATTAACGCCACTAACAGTAGCTTTCCCCTGTTCTTTTTCTTATCTTTCCTATTCACATAATGCTGAAGATTTTATTTAAGCTTCATTAGATAGATTACTGACGACACTCAGACGCTCACCTCCACCTTTCCCTCCAGTTTAAAACTACAATTTAAAATTTATCTTCATTTTATACACTAAGCAACCTGAAGGCGAGCCTCACATTTCCCATCAGTTTAATGTTAGCTTTACACACACCCTTTATTTTTTCAGCGTCTCACAAAACTCTCCATCACCATTTCCCCACAAGTTTTCTCTCCATCGTAACCCCACTCTCCCGGCACCTGGGAGATGCAGTCTGCAGGGACTGGGTCACTAAATGAGGGCATTTTGGGGTTCCCCCGCTCTGCCCTTCCCGCAGCATCCATCCCTACCCTCAGCACCGCGGACAGCTCCCCTTTCCCAGCGCCTCCAGCCCCGCTCGGCATCCCGGAGAAAAAACCCCGCACTCACCATGTCTGAAACAGCCCCAGACGGAGCCGGCAGAGGTGGAAGGAGCAGTACGGGCAATTGTCAGACTGGATTTTGCCCAGTTCACAGCAAAGCTTTCTATACTTCCTTGGGAAAGACCGGCTTTGCGTCAGTGCATAGCAAGGTGCCCTTCGCGTGACATTTTCTTGATAATCGGAGTTTGATAAATCATTAGGCTCGGTTTGGGATTTTAAAGGGACACGGGGAGCCGGGCTGGCTGTCACTGCCGCGGCAGTGGCATTGCGTGCTCCCTGTGACTCATGTGGGGGCTGATGGCCAGCCCCAAACCGAGCACGGCACAACTTTGGGAACATGTGGGAAACACGTACTGCTGCACCCAGGGCAGGGAGAAACGGGGACAGACCTTCCATTTCTGCTCCTCTTCCTCCTCCCTCTCACTGCGGCGAAATACAGCTCCCTTTCTAAAACCTGCATTTCCGCAGTTCACAGATCGGGTGTTATAATAGCTCGTTTATACAGGTTATCAATCTATATTATATACATATATCATACTATATATATATATACACATATAATCAATATATATTACATACATATATATATCATATTATATAAATGTCTATATACACACAAATATACATACATATATACATAAAATCAATATATATTATATACATATATAGTATATATCATATTGTATGTATGTATACATATACATATATACGGACATATTATCAATATATATTATATTGTATATAATATATACAATTTATATACATGGATATTAAAATAAAAACATGAACATTATCGGGTTTGTGTCTAACCACATACCTACACACGGAGCGAGAAGCTCACTATGTATAAAGCACCGAAATGCATTTAGATTGTGTCTTTCTCGGTCTCGTTGCACGAAATTGCATTGTATCGTTTATTTTTACTGTGCCTCGTGGGGGAAAGTCCAATTAAATTTAAACGATACACACAAGAAAACAAGGTTTTCTGTCATCAAAACTGTCTGAAGAGCAGTTCAGTGTGAGCAGAGATGACGGCATCAGCCCTGAAATTGCTGGTGCTCTTCCCCCACCATCAAAGCATTTACGTTCGATTATTGGGGGAGAAATTATTCATCCTTAAAAGTCAGGTGTTGACTGACAATCACGTTTTTGCAACGAAATGTTTCACACCTGCCCACATCTTGTAGGTGTGATTTGCTGCTTGAGGGGCTTTCTCAAAGATTTGTTGAGCACGAGATGATTTTGTTCACTCCGACCAAAAAAGAAAAAAAAAAGAAAAAAAAAGAAAAAAAAAAAAAGAAAAAAAAAGGGAAAGGAAAAGCTAAAAAGCGCATTGGCGAATCGGGATGCTCCCTACGCAACCTTCTCGGTTATTTCAGCGTCAGCGACGCTGCTCATCCGCATAGCCCGTGCTGGTGTCAGCTTCTCCGGAGAGTATTTCACACTTTGGCGTAAGCGGAGCGGGGGGGCAGGGGCCGCCGGCACACTCGCCTTCCTCCTGCGTCCTTCAGGCTTTTACTGCTTGCCAGCCTTTGCTTCGGACGGCGGAGTAAATAAAAATATTTAAAAGTCAATAAGGAATCCGCGCAGGCGGTGCTGCAGAGCCGCTGGCTGCGCGGTGCCACCCGGAGCAGGGGCAGGGATGGGGACAGGGACAGGGATGGGACAGGGGCAGGGACACGGACATGGATGGGGACAGCGACAAGGGACAGGGACAGGGCAGCTTTGTTGCTGCGCTTCCCCCTGGCAGGCCGGCACCGCGGCGGCCCAGCTGAACCTCGCTGCCGCAATTACTGCCAGCCCCACGGAGAGCGGGGCCAGCAAAGCAGAACGGCCCAAATCGCTTTTTGCCGAGGGGATCGGCCAGCCCGCAGCTGAGGAACGCTTCTGGCTGCAGCAGAGCCGCACACCGCGCTCGCTCGCTCGGCTGGGATGTTTTCCCTCGCACATCCCCGAGCGCGGGGTTACCTGTACCATGGGTATATAATTACTGTGTGCACCTACAGCTATTTTACACACACTGCCCGTGCATGGTTGCACGTTCCTGTCTGTAAATCACCTTTCTGCCTCTGTTCTGTCACGCAGAGCAGCAGCCTGGGCTGGGGGAGCGTCCCTGCCCCAGATAACGGAGCTGGGTGAACTTTAGCATCCCTCCCGAGCCAGACCATTCCGTGATTCCGTGCGCTCCCCGCGGGGCTGGGGAGGATCCGAGGGGCGCTGGCAGGAGCTGCCTTTGGCTTTAGGGAGGGGAGAGGCTGGCGGTGCTTGGCAGCGTTCCCTTCCCTAGGCACCCTCAGCCGCAGAGCGATCTGCTGCTGCTCCTCAGCTCGGCCGTGCTGACCTCCGGGCACATTCACCCCTCCAAAGGCCGGATTCAACGCCAAGGACAGCAGCCCAAGGGACATTCTGGTCGGGAAGGCTCCTAAAGGTCTTCTAGAGTCGTTGGATTATCTTGTTTTGTTTCTCCAAAATTCGGATAACTCACTTTTCACGTTCTCCTCGAAGTTATATTTTTGTTTTCTCCATCAGCAGTGAAAGGTGAAATCGAGGTTTCACCCCCGGCAGAAGGGGGTCCATCTCCTTTGCTCTCTGGGAAGTCAGGAGCGCTTCTCCTTCCCCTGTATCCCGGGAAAGCTCGGCAGGGGCACGGCCGGGTCTCTCCCCGGAGCCAGGGATGCATTCCCGGCCAGGAGGAGACCCTGGAGCCACCCTGCTCGGTTTGCAAGCATTGCCTTTGTCCCGCCGGCCTCGGGCCGCACAGCCCAGCCCCGTGCCGCCCCTGCCTTCCCACAGGGCATTCGGGACGGAAACACCTGCGTGGGTCCGAACTGCGAGCTTGGATTTACGGTTCATTCCAAAACCCAACCAAATCCCTCCAGCGTGGGGGGTTCACTCAACCAGCAAGTTTAATTAACCAGCCAACCGCCGTCAGGTTCTTTGAAATGATTTTTCTGAGCCCCTTGCCACCGTGGCTGCCTGTCCCGCAGGCGAAGCGCCCTCCCAGCCCTCATCAGGGCAGCGGGGATTCGGGAACAGCGGGGATTCAGGGACAGCGGAGATTCAGGGGCAGCAGGAATTCAGGAGTAGCAGGAATTCAGGAACAGCAGCTGCCCATAGCCCACATCAGGGGCAGCAGGAATTCAGG